AGGGACTCCTGGAAGGAGGCAGATGCAGGGGACTCTCTGCCTCCATTGCCCCCCCCTGCCTCCTGTTCCCACTCCCCACTGCCCAGTTCCCTCTCCCTAACCACAGAACTCTGTCCCCATTCCCCTGTCCCCAGCTACAGAACTCTGTCCCCACTGGCACCCTGTCCCCTGCCAAAGCACCCACTAGCACCCTTCCCCAGTACTATGTCCCCTGTTCCCACCAACACAGTTGGGGCCACATTAAGTGAAGCTTGGAGGGGGTTGGAGGGTGGAGGAGGGTTTTTTTGCATCTCACTTGTGTGGCCCCAACTAACTTTTCTTGGGTCAGTGACCTCTGACTCAAGACAGGTTCCCTGCCCTTCTCAGAAATAAAGACAATGCAGAAACTTTTTGTTTGACACAGTATTTTATTTAAAAATGAAGCCTGGCCAACAAACCCCCAGTTGGGGCCAAGTCCCCATCTGGCCACAACATCATAACACTCCTGCACTCCCCTTTCCCCCAGACCCTACATCTGAGCCTATCAAACACTGGAACCCTCTGCCCTGAGCCCTTCACATACCCCAACCCAAATTCCTGAACCCTCACATCCAAAAGTCTGTGGCTTGCTTAGTACCCTAACCCTACACCTGACCCCAACACTGCCCGGCCTGGCGCCCTCTCCCCGAGCCAGTGTCCCCTTATCCACCTTCTCCTGCATCCAGATTTCCTCTCAGAGCTTGCACCTCTCACCCCTTCCCATGCCCAAATCCCTCATTCCCACCCCAGAGCCTACACATCCTGTCTCAACCCAGCAAGGTTTCAGCTAGACTGCAGGAGTTTTTCAGGATTCCGGAGATATCCCAGAAAAACCTCTTCTGCATCCAGGGATGCATTTGTTCTTCCACTTCTTTTAGTGGAAGAGCAAACATGATCTTTCGGTCACCTCTATATTCCTCTTTCCACAAGGAATAAGGGGACTTCGAAAAAAAGGGGGTTTTCTGACATTTGGTCCAGTCTAGACAGGCCAAATGTTGGAAAAACCTCTTCCTACAGAAGAATTGGGGGAAAAAAAGCAGCGGTATAAGGGTTGGGGATAGCAAGTGATGGAGAGGAGAAGAATAGAGAGGGCAGAGCTTCAAGGAAGGGGCGAGGCGGTAGATCTTGTTCTGTCATTTAAAAAGTGATCTTGAGTGTGAAAAGGTTGGAGACCACTGCACTAGGAACAGCCGCACTGTGGCCTTGGTCTAGCTCTGACAGCCGCTACATGGCTTACCCTGGCCCAGCTCTAGTTACAAAGGGGTTAGATTAAACTCTTGCTGAAGGCACTTCTCTATTTTCAGTCAGACATTATTTCACCCCTTCTGCCACAAGAAACATAGCACTGTTGTTTTTGTCTATATACACATGTACATATTTGCATTCCCTTGTTTTTGCATTAACTTCTAGAAATATGTACCATATTAAACAGGTTATTTTCCATTTTTAGATTAATTTGAATTATTTTCTCCATCTATGCAATTGTTTTCACTTTAATATCTATGTAAATTACTAAAAGGGAAGTGTAAGTACAGAAGGCAAATAAAGGCATCAGAAGGGAGCTGAAGTGTTCCCTTTTGTTTCTGACATGCAGCAAAATTGTCAGTTTTCAGTTACATAAAGCAAAAACTCCATAATAAAATTCAGTTAAAATCCACTATCAACTATTATATCACTAAAGAGAAATATTTTCCCAGTCCTTTTTAATTTGGAGACATGCACAATATCGTCCAGCACCATATAGTCTACAGAAAATGTAGGGTTTAAAATACATTGTTGAAGATAAATGCTCACATAATAGATTATAGATGGTGTAGGCACAGAAACTGATCTTTACCATTTTTAACTTAATTTTCATATGCACTCAGATTAATATTTTGGTAGCAGTTCCAAAATATCTTTTAAATAATTTCCCAAGATATACAGGACGCAAAATGATACAGCTGGACATGCTATAACACACTGGAGTATGAGGAGATGATATAAGTGTCTATAAAGCATCTTCTTTAAAAATAAATCTTTTTGTTTTATTTTACTGCCATTACATATTTCAATACACAATCAACACTAAAAAAAACCCTGAGATCCTCAGAGATTTTGGGATCCCCCCCAAGACTTCTTCACCTCGCCTCCCCTCCCCCCCAACAAATTGTTGTTAGCTTCTTATAGTAACAGGTAAAACAAACAGCTCTCTGCAACTTTTTCAAAGAAATTTCACTCACTGCTTTGTTTTTAACGTTGGTTGGGGTTTTTTGTTTGTTTTTGTAAATACTTACAGTAGAATAGCTGCAACAGAAACACGATCACTGTTCTTTGTTGAAAAGGTCTGCCAAGCAGCCAAAATACTACCAAATGCCAAAAATTGAGTAAAAAATTCT